CTTCTTTGCCAAAAGTCTTCCAATGGCCGGATCCGCTTCTGCCTCAGGACCTAGCATACACTTTTCCTTTTGGGTTGTATCACCTCCTCCAGTACACTCTGAGCTTACTTCCTCACCAACTTCAGGTTGTTCCTGAAAAGACACTTCCCTGGCCACCCTATTGAAAATACAATTTCCTTAAAATAACCACACTGCATATCTCACTTCCCTTTGTAGTTTTGATACTTAACACTATCCAACATGCCATGTTATTTTATCGTTTTTATTTTCTGTCATCCCCATGGTAATACAGGCACCATGTGGTCAGTATTTTTCTTTATCTTTCTTTCTTTTTCTTTTTTTTTTCCAGTCCGTCTTAATCACTGCTATATACTCAGAACCCACCTAAAAATATGCCTGTCATGCTGGCATGCAGTAGGAATTCAACAGTCATTTGTTGAATGAATGAATACATTTTCCCACTATTATTCTTAATTTCCTTTAAATGTGTGGGGTTTTGAAATGTCTTATCCTCAATAAGATTAGCTACTAGCTTAATCATGTTATTGCTTATTTACTCAGAGAAACAACTCTTGGTTTATTCTTAAATTCTTTTTTGTTTGTTTTCTAATGTATTACTTTCTATTTTTAGTTCTTTCCTTTTTCAGATCTATGTTTCTTAATTTTTGAGACTAAAAATTGATTTATTGCCATCCCTTTTTAGGTCATATAAGTATTTTATAACATACATGTTATACATATTCACTACAATATACCCATTGCTCTGAACTTAACTTTACCTATAGCCTTTTAGGTTTTTATGCATGGTGTTTATCTATTTTTCTGCAATTTTACTTTTTATTTGCCTTTTAACGAAAAGTTAGAAGAGCATGACAAAATTTCTAGCTTTTAAAAAATGTCTTGTTTTTTTGTCATTAATATGATACAAACAAGGGCAAGTGACCAGAGAATACACATACTGGCCAGTAGGGGAAACATTTACTGAGAAGACCTCAGGGAGACAGGACGCAATGGTCCCCTTTCCCACTGCATTCTAGGGTATCACACAGGGATTTAGAAGGTCTGGACTTTAACTCTGAGCAAATGACCCAATCCTCTGATCTGGAGCTTTTAAGCATCATGATTAGGGAAGCACGGGCCCCTCCCATAGTGTGGCTGGGAACCAGGACACACTAGCAATACAAAGTGGCAGAACGCTGGCTCTAGACCTGTCCTGCCAATTCAGCATTTAAGTTTGGGGAAATCACCAGCTTTTCCCCTGGCATCACTACAGGCTGGGGTCCAAGCCTTTGGTTTGTAGCTGTATAACATGCAAGAATGGGAACATTAGCATTCAGGGTTAGGGAAACACCAGCCTGCCTCCTGGCATGATTGAGGACAGGCTTCCGAACTTGTGATTGTCCAGAATTGATTGCCTAGGCACTGGGCTAAATCTGGATTCCACAGATCTTTCAGAAGGCCAATCCCTCTTCTGGAATGTTAGGCCATAAGAAATCCATCCCAGACAAGTTAAACCTTACATCTCAATTTGTAATTCAATATCAGTGATTCAAAAATGTTTTCCTGGATTTTTCTTCCTCTCTTTGTAGTTTACTTAGATTCCTTTGGGGCATATATATAGTTGTTTTGTTAAAATTAAATGACATTTGAAAAGGAAATTAATTCTCTAATTTAAGTACATAAAGTTGGATGGATATTGTGGTCAACCTTAATAATTATGTTATTAGGATTCATAGTCTTATTTATTTTTTAACTAACAACCTTTTATGGGATAAAAGAAGTGAACTAAATATTCTAACTATAATTTTTTCTATGTCAAGATCTTTGTATATTTTCTGCAGTTTTGCAATTTTAAATGCTTTGTTATTTAGTAAAAAGAAAATAAACATTAGATATTCATTTGGGTTTATACATGTTATTTTAAGCACTCCTATTAGGAATTATTTAATTTTTTATTTCAACATTATCTAAATAGCATGACCTCTACTTTATTTTGTTTACCTTTGACTAACGTATTTTTACCCTTTTAATCTTTCTGTGCCACTTTGTTCCAGGCATATCTCTTATAGATGGTCTGTAGTTCACATCTCTTAAAGCTATTCTGAGAGCCTATTGTTATCTATGTTGTATTTATATTTATAAAATAATACTCTGGCCTTAATGTCATAAATTTATTTTACAATATAAATTCTTGATTTTATTACTTCCTTTTCCCTACTATATTTGCAATATGTTCAGTGTGTTCTTTTTTCTTTGTGTTGTGTATTTCTGAGTGGGTTTTTCATTATGCTAATTTGGAAAATTTATAATTACTTTGGGTCCTGTTGGTAAATTGTTTTATTTTTTCACCAGTGGCATTTTATGAATTCTTTCTCTTTTTAGAAATCAAAAAATAGCATTAGGTACTTTTCCTGAGCCTCTTGGTGATGTTTTAGTAAATTTAGACAGCATTTATTTATTCCCAACAACAAAAAGAAGAAAGCAAGGACACTTATATTCCCTACTTTAACCAAAAAGTACTTCTCATGTTCCTAATAATTATTTTTTCACATAATATAAGCTTATAATATTGCCTTATATTATGTAATGACATGCTCCACAGCTGTTTGGCCCAATTTCTAGTTTTCAGTGGTCTCAGTGCTCACTGCCATGTTCCAACTCCTTTTCAGCTTTCCATTCTTCATTCTGTTCCATTTCTTGTTTGGCTGTATTTTATCACATCTTCAAGGATTTTCTTTTCAAGACATCTTGTGGTCATTATATTCACCAAATCTTTACAAGTGAAGTAGCTGTATAACCATTACCTATCAATAGCAACATAGCAACTGGGCTACATAACCCAGGGGCCACACTACCTTTTCCCCTTCAGGGCCGATAGATATTGGTCTACTGTCTTCTGGCAACGCTGCTGCTGGGGAGGGTGAACACATCAGAGGTGACTTCTTCCTACTGCGATGTCCGCAGGAACTTCTGTTGTTGTGTCATTGTTGACATTTACTAACGTTACAAGGATATATTCCATTCTCTATAGTTTTCCTTAAAATACTTTCAATGTACAGATTTAGTTCTTTATGTTAGAAATGTTCTCTTCATTTTATTGTTGAATGTTTTCAGTTTTATTATCTCTTCTCATTTTCAGGAATACAATTTTATTTGTGAGGATTTCTTTGTGTCTCTGTTTCATCTTTTCTTGCAACATCTCATCTTTTATCTTATTGTTCTTTCCCATTGTATTTTATGTAATATTTTTAAGTATACCCTTTATATCTCTGACTTGGTTTTCAGTAATACTTTATTTTTCTCCCCTCTTTGATTGTAGCTGTTTATTTCTGTGGTAGTTTTATTGCTGAATTTCAGGTTGCTAAGGTCTGCCACCTTATTTTTCAATTCTTTACATGGGCTTTTCTTATTTTATCAATATCTTGTATTTAAAGAATTGTTTTTACAGTTATCCTTTAAAATATTTTTCTTTATTAATTTAAAATACTTTGCTAGTAGAGAGTCTTTTTCTAAATTTATTTTTATGTTTTCTGAAATAATTCTAATGTGCATTCTTCATCTACTGTTCATTTATTATGCTTATTTCTAATTATTTTTTCCAAATAATATCTATGCTGAGCTTCCCCGTGGATCCTTTCTTTTTATTTTTAAAGTAAGACCATTCCACCTAGCTGGCTATTCATGCAGGTCTGGGGTGCGGGTAGGAGATTTTGTTGGAGGAAAGATGTGAGTGAACAGAGGATTCGAAATTTTCTTTCTTCTTTATTTTTATTTTGTGGCTCAGTCTACCACATCTGCTACATCCTTTGACTGGGAATGTCTCTCAGCAAGAGTGTTATGCTGCCCACTGTGGAGTGAGCATATCACTCAGAGACATCTATGTGACTCCCCGTGTTGCAGTATGTACACAGAGATCTATATCCGTAAGAAAGTTTAGTGTTTTTCCTCCTTTTTCTGTCCTACCTTATCTCCAGGCTATTTCTCATTGTAAGGAGGTACATTTTCATAAAGTTAAGAAAATATGTCCTCTCACCTCTAGAACCGTCCCCTCTACTTTTCTCAGTAGGGAATTTTGACTCATTCTCTTTTCCTCCCCTCCCCATTCTACAAGGATGTTCCCAGTTTTCCTTTCTGCCTATCTGCCTTCTCCAAATGTCGGTTGCTACAATCTACTTAAAATCTAGAACTGCATGCACTGGCTTTTGATGTTTTTGCTCTATTTGGCCCAAGGTTCACCATATTTGTCCATACTCTTCAAAGGCTGTGCTTTGGGGGTTTAGCCAACTCCTTATTTCTTTAACATGTGAGTTTTGTAGTTCTTGTTCTCTTTGTTGATAATTGTGGGTTTCAGAGAAGGGAACGGAAGAGAGAACATGCTATTTCTTAACCAGAAACATTCCAGTTTTTTTTTTTTTTTAAAGCTAATAAATCATTGTCATTATGCCTGACTACACTCCTAGTCTCCGGTCACATGTCACGTGGGATGGCATCTGCGAACTCTGAGTGCGCTCATGAGTTGCTTAGCAACCAAAAGTTCTTTTATTCCTTCCAACAGCCTGCCCCAACCCTATCCCTGCGTGGCCCAGCCCACCCTGCCTTAAAATAGAACGTGTGGTTCCGTGAGTCACTTGAAAACGGTTCTCTAAGAGAAAAGCCCTCCGCTTCCAAAGGGCAGTGCTAATCAAGAGGGAACTGAGGGAGGAATGTGTTGAATAGGAGTAAGGAAAGATACCAACATCAACAGTAGAAATTAAATGAATTATTAATACATTAAGGAAATGTATAAAGATCAGCAAGATCATGGGAGAAAAGCAAAATAAGAAGGTGGAAACAGGAGAATATTTGTATTTTTTCAGTCACAAAAGGTAATCGTAGCACACATCTGGAGTTTCCGCAGATAAAGTCCAGAGGAGAGTGAACGACACATGCTCAGATACTCGTGGTTGCCTTAATCACGTGATACCCCCTATGCCAATAATACTAAAAAGAGAAAAAAGTACCTGTAAATGCCGTAAATAGTAAACCGGAGGCGAGGCATCACATAGTCTAGCAACTGTCTTCCGAGTAAGGACTGGAGGGGGTACGTGCTCCAGAGGCGAAGGCATGTAGACCAACTCGGACCGTTTACAAGGATCGTGTGGGGTCTGTTCACGCGGGGGCTTCTGGGGCGCTGCCTACTGCGCAGGCGCCTGGGGCCAGGGCAGTAACGTCACCCTGCCGTCCGACTGCCGTCTCCATGCTCAGAATACATCACCCTGCTCTGCACGGGCAGTGGGAGTAGGATAGGGGGTCCCCAGAAATGCTTATGCCCCCAAAGTGGCTATTTCTAAACAGGAATAAAAGTAAGTGCATTTGAGTGAGAAAATTATATTTTAAAAATGTAAAATCATTTTGTATGATATCTGATACAGTAAGGGACATATTTCCCAGATAAAAGTAGATTGATTCTCAGGCACAAGATAACTTCTATATGGAATATGCCAAGGTTAAGAGATAAATCTTTTTTTCCTAAATTAGTAAACTTCTTTGTGAGAAGTCTGCAAAATAAAAATCAACTGATAATGCACATGGGAAGTAATAAAATATTAATAAATAGTGCTATTCAAAGGGAAATATTTACTAAAATTAGATAAATAACAAGAATATTTAATGCAATTACATTAAAAGTACTTTCTATGTGTGAGATTTTAATATTGCCAATTTTCTACAAAGCAATAATCTAATGATTTATTAAGTATGAATTATAGGTTAAATTATCAACATCTGGCAAGTCAGGTAGGATAAATCAATTTTAATTAAGCTGGTTGTTAAATTTTATAGAACATTTTGAGATTGCAGCAGTGTACTGTACAGTGATAAGCCTAACCTAAAGAGCCTAAGCAAATCTTGCACATTCTGTTGGTAAATTTCCATATCCAAACTGAATGAAATTTCTGTGTGTTCAATCCATAGCCCCCAAGTGATGGGGATTTCCCACAGTTCTCTGATTCATATATTTAACTTCTTGAACCTTATTTTATTTTGGTAAAATAAGGATTATTGATGTTTATGAGCAGATTATATTTTTGCCTGGCTTTTAAATAAAATAAGAATGCTAAATGCAGAGTAGTTAGGTGGACAAATACAGTGGTTCATAAACCATGTCCAGGTTGGTATAACACTGTCACCACCTGGACAGATGAGCCCCCAGGGATGGAAACTAATGCATGCAGGACTGTATCTTCCAACTAATGCACCAGCAATAGCAATCAAGCCCTACACACCTTTGAAAGAAATCTACATTGTTTTTGCCCTGCCAAAAAAATAATCATAATAGGTCTTCTGTGCTAGATGGAGATAAAAGAAATACACCTTTGCCATGTGCAAGGGCAAAACGCTTTGAAGCTATACTCAAATAGAAATGTTATCTAAGAACTACTGTCCTGATCAACAGAACTAGAGGATAATAATAAGGACCATCAAACGTAATTCCTCACATTTTACAGTATAATTGCACTTACATTGTCATATTAGTATGAATTGCATTTTTACACAAATCTCCTTAGCATCCCGTGAAATATTATTTTCAAATTCATTTTATTCCATGCTAAGGCTCTATCTGTGAAGTTTCTCTCTGAAATAGCAATCTGTATTAGTTTCAGGCTGTATACCAACTCCTATATAATCTTTCAAAATTATAGACATGAAAAATATATTCAGAGGTTTTTATATCTTTAAGAGTTTTGAAGTAATGCTGCCTTACTTGGGATCTTGGGCATGGGATTTCTGCATGAATATTTCATGCTCATTGCTCTCCACTATCATTTAAAATGTTGATATTGGTCTACATATTAAAGGACAGATGAAGTGCCTTTTTGGATTCAGTCCATCCAAATTTTGTATTTCTATTATTCTAAGCTGTTTTCTTCATTTGGGGCACATTAGAGGGAAGTAGACTTATGTAGGAAATCATTACTTCAAATGTTCTTGGGGAGAAATATTTAACTTACTTTGAAAATCTACTTCCATATATAAATTCTAGAATCCTAAAATATCGACAATGTACTAAATGTTTTGAAAAACATGACAGGAAAAGAAAAGGACAACCCCTTTATTTTTTTTTCCAAGATTATTTCACTGAAAAGGTACAGATGAGTAATAGAACATTTTGGCTATTTTTTTTTAAGAAAAAGAAACTTCTTTTGCACTACTTTTAAAGGAATTCGACCTGAGTTATGGAGAATAAACCAGTGAGGTGAAATACAGCCATTTTCAAATTTTAAAAGACTGATGAAATTAATTATATATGTGAAAAAACATAAAGTGGAAGTATTTTATGAAGAAAAAATGGAATTCGGCTATCAAAGCTAAGCTATCCATCAGATAGCTGCTAATTACTCCCAAGAAACAAACTGAAATGTACTAATAAAATGATGTGATTGCAGAAAGGTTTAAGAGCTTTTTAATTACCAAGCATTCAGGCAGAGTTCTCAGACTGCATGGACGTAAGGCAAGTATATACAAGTAGTTGGTCATCTTCCCAGAGGCACATGAAGTATTTTCCATACAGTACAGTGAGGCATGCTGGCCAGGGTGGCCCGACTGCGAGATAGATGTTGGAGTTATAGTTCTGCCTGCTAGCATCTGGCTGAGTTTTCTGCAGCAAATCCTAGATGTTTTGGGTGGCTTTAGCTCAGTGTGCAAAATGAGGACGCCACTTACATGTAATTACAAAAGCCCCTTGCACATTTTCTAGACTTTGATCAAATCTCTAGACTGGCTGTGAAACCACAAAAAGAAGGATGAGGCAGGGAACATACATGTATTTAGTGCCTACAATGTACTGGGCACTGAGCCAAATACTTTACATGTGATAATTCATTTAATCCTAAGAATCCAGTGACACGGTCTCACTCTTCTACTTCTGAGGCACAAACATGTCCCAGAGCCATTGGGAACCAGCAAAGTCAAAATCCACAAGTCTGTTCTCTTTATCCAGAGAATGAAGTCAGAGAAAATGGCAAACAGGCATGTGTAATGAATTTTAGATGTCCCAGGATCAAATAAAAATACAACTCTGTTTATACATAAGAGGTCTCAGAGAGGAAATTTTAGAACAAAGGACCAATATCCCATTGACTTACTGATCACAGTTTCAAGCCTAGAAAATCCCATTCCCACCCTCTTGCTCTCTCTCTCTTATATACATACGCACACACATACACACTCCTCCACTCTTGAACATATAAGCACTGTTGCCATTGTCCATTCAGAGTAACAAACTTTGATCTCAGGGGGGCTGAAGGCATATTACAATTTCAGTGGGGAATGTAATGCAATGTGCCAGGTTATGTTTTCATAGAAAAGCTAAGAGGCTTGCTCAATCATACATCTCTGCTGGCTTTGTTTTCTTCCCAGTCAGTGGGTTCTAGGTACAGAATTTGTTTAATTTTCAGGTAAGATCTCATTGGTCAGCCCAAGACCTATTGGGAGAGTTGGTTCTAAACAACACATAAACATCATTTAACAGATCTTTAAACTTCTGTTTGTGTGATGCATTTACCAGGCTGTTAACCATTCAAAACATTGAAATCTGCCTTCTGGTAGGGAAAAGCAAACTCAGCCCCCCAGACTTTCCTCAGAAATCATTTTTTTCTTCCTTTCACCTTCCTCTCAGATTAGATTCAAGCTATAGTTTTCATAATTTACACAATATTCAATCAATCAGCCACTGTGCATTTGCTCTGAAAAATAAAGCCATTCTGGGCTTGCAAGCCTATAATTCAGGTTACTTTAAGAATTATTTAAAAAAAAGAATTATTAAACAATACATGATATTTACAAAGCCATAACTAACATAGTCATAAACTATGGAACAGGCATCCTCAAACTACGGCCCGTGGGCCACATGCGAGTGTTTTTGCCCTTTTGTTTTTTTACTTTAAAATAAGATATGTGCAGTGTTCATAGGAATTTGTTCATAGCTTTTGTTTTTAAATATAGTCCGGCCCTCCAACGGTCTGAGGGACAGTGAACTGGCCCCTGTTTAAAAAGTTTGAGGACTCCTGCTATGGAACACAATACTGTGAACACTCATGAACCTACTCTCTCAATTTATAAAATCTACAATATTTCATGAACCTTGTATTTACTCATGTTCTTTTCCCACCTCATCCCCTTGCCTCCTCCTCCTCTCAACACATGCACACATCATCTCAACTTCAGTGTAGATCATGCCCTTCGTTTTTTACTTAATATAGTTTTATTAGGCACCTCTGTATCCCTAAATGATGTTATTTAGTGCTATTCAACTTTCAGGTTCATAAAAATGATGTCATCATACCATATGTTAACTATTGCAATGTACTTTTTCTCTCTTTCCAAAGGTCATCTAGGTTTTTATTTGATGCCATAGGCCATTCATTTTAATTTCTGTAGATTATTCCATTTTGTAGATATATAACGATTTATACTTTTCCCCAGCTATGGTCATTTGAGTTGTTTCCAGTTTTTTGCTAAGGTGAACATGATCCCATGCTTATTCTTTCTGTGTCTAGGGCACATAAGTGCAAGACCTTCTTTATGGTAGAAACCTACACGTCGAATGGATGCACTATACACAGTATGTATTCATCTTTCCAAGATAGCACCAAATTGTTTTCCAAAGTTGTATACCAATTTGCACTCCCTCTAGTACACAAGATTTCCTGTTGATACACATCATTGACAGCTCATGTTTTACCAGAAATCTTAATTTTAAGCAATCCAGTTTGGTTTTAATTTTTATTTTACTAATTACTAAGGCCAAGCATATTTGCATGTTTTTGACCATTCATATTTATTTTTCTATAAAATGCCTATTTATGTCTTTTGTTCTTTTTTTCCTAGAGGACGGTACTCTTTTAAATTATTGTTTTCATAGGTTCTTTATATGTTCTAAATAGTTATTCTTTATTGATTGTGTGTTGAAAATGTATTCCAGTGTGTGTGGCTTATTTTTCACTCTTATTATGGTTTCTTTTGATGAACAAAATTCCTTAATTTTAATGTAATCATATGTGTCAATCTTTTATGGCTAAAAAAATTTGTCTTATTTAAGAAAGCTTTCCTACCCTGATGGAATATAAAAACTTTAAAATTTTTCTTTTTACATTTAAAACATTAAAATGTCAGAAATTTATTTCTGTATATAATGTGAGATAACAAACCAATTTAATTTTTTCATATGAATTAGCAATGTCATCCCCCTTGGTCATATTTCTTAAATATGTGGGCATGCTACTACCCCACCTCCAACCTCTCCATGCTATGCTGTTACCTTTTCAGTCATGCTGATCCTGGTGCCAAGACATTGCCCTAGTTATGGTAACGTCAACATCATTCGTGATAACTGTTAAATAAACTCCATCTTCTCAGCAAATGTATCTTAGCTATTATTGGACCATTGCTCTTCCTTACATTAAATGAATTTTAGAATCACCTTTGTTGAGATCGTGAGAAGGATTGTCTTGAGCCTATATAAAAATGTGGGGACATATGGTATCTTAATAATATTGGGTCTTCATTGTGATAAACATGATATATATCTCTATGCCATCGTTAATATCTTCTAATAAAATTCTATAATTTTCTCCATACAGGTCTTACATAATTCTAGTTAAATTTCTTCAGTTGTACCTTATATTTTCTGCTGCTATTATAAATTTTATCTTTTATTATTATCATATCACATATCTAATTGACTTTTACTGATGTACACAAATGTAATTAGTTTGTGTAATTTCATTTCATAGCTAGGCAGAGAGGTAAGCAATCTTATTATTTCTAATAATTTGTAGATTATTCTGGGGTTTTAGGTAGGTATATAGATGATCTGTAAATAATCATATTTATTCATTCTTTTCAAGGTACATATATTGTATATCTGTTTCTAGTCTTCTTGTGCTAGCTAAGTCTCCAGTATATTATAGGAGTAAAAGCAGTGTGCATGAATTTCTGGTCCATATTCTCAAAGATATTCTTACTAACAATTCACTATCAAGAATGAGGCTTACTCTAAATTTTTAGCAACTGCCCTTTATTAATTAAAGAAATTCCTTCTATTCATACTTTGTTTATGATTTCATGAATTTTATCAAAAACATTTTTAGCAACTACTGAGATGATCATATAGATGAAATAATGGAATGATTATTTTCCCTCCAACCTGTTCATGGGAAGAATGACATATGAATGATCTAATGCTATATAGACTTTGAAATTGTAGAAAAAACTAAACTTGATCACAATGTATTGCATTAGCAAACTGAATTTAGTTTGCTAATAATTTAAGATTTTTAACCAATATTTTTATTTCTCATACTCTTCTTTTTTACCTTAAACTAGCTTCATAGAATAAGGAAATATTCCTTCTTCATCTGTCGTCTGGAAGGACTTTCATATTCCTTGAAAATTCGGTAGAATCTGCTTGTAAAACCCCAGGCCTGGTGTTTCCTTCATGAGTTGTGATTCCCCACTGTTTTGGGGAATTAAAATCTGCATTCCTGCCTGAGGCCCGTAATCAAAGGGGTAGGAGAGTGTCCCTTTTTTCTTTATACAACAGGAGATGGCTCAACTGAATCGTCCAGGGCAGAGGCCAGGAGATTCTGGGCAGAGATCATGAGATTGTTTTCACTAGAGATGCTACAGTTAAACAGCAATAGCTCGAAGCTGAACCCCTACCCCTCACTCCATCCCCCCCAAGGCCTTTAAAAGCTCTGTATTTCTGCTTAAAGGCAGGAAGGTGGTACTTTAAAACAACAGTCCACCATCCTCCTCATTTGCCTGCAAATTAATAAACTTCTCTTTCCTTCTCCTCAAAACATGAACTTTTGATAACATACAAATCTCAATTTCTCTCTCTCTCTAAATAATATAATTACTAGCTAGAGGTGTACAGTAACCTCTCCTCTAAATAGAAAAATATATTTTTCCTCCTCAATTAAAGGTAAAAGATGACTTAATAAGCATATAACTGTCTTTGGGTATGTATAAAGGGGTCTTATGGCCTTTTGGGTGACATAACTTTTATAGACATTTTGGGGGGAAAAATCTGTCCTAGCATCTTTGTCTATTGTTAAGTAAAACTTTGAGAAAAAATAAACCTCAGAATTCATAGATTACTTGGTTAACTTTGGTTTACAAGATTTCCTTTCTTTGGGACTTTCAAATTAATATATTTTATCTCTTTTATCTTTATGGGTTCACTGGAAGGAGTTAAAGACAGTTAATATTTATTAACTATGTATATTAGATGTAAACATTGGAGCACAGGCACCTTAAATTCTAGCCAAGTAGAATGGTAAATCTGGGTCTAGAAAACCCAGCTCTTTAACTGTAACCTAGGAACCTATATAGTAACTTACACAGCAAGTGTATTCGAATATTCCATTCAGACTTCAGTGATCTCATACACTGTTTGAATGACTCTGTGATTTTTACTAGGTTATTCTTACCTCAAACTGTTAACAAGAGTGAGAAATGTCCATAAATGATTATAATTTTCCAACCTGATAATATTACTTGGATTTGTAGGAACTAACCATTACTCAGACATTAATTAAATTCCAAGTTACGCATTTCAAGAAAGACAAATTACTATCAAATTTGTCTTCTAACACTTAAAACATTTTCCTTACTTATTGTTTGTTTTTAATAAAGTAGATCCATTAGCAACAGAAGGGTTTCTGTGAATTAAATTATGGTAAGTGGAAAATTGGTCATTGTCTTTTCCTATAATAATTTTGTACTTTGGAAGTTATCTCTTGATCATTTGTATGCGAAACTAGTTTTTCTGAACTTTCAGAATGTGCCAAAGTGTGCACATTTATGTCTGGGAGTGGAAACAGAGCCTTTTCTTGGTATGCAAGATCTGAAGCTACATTGTTTGCCATTAATTTTTTTTTTTGCATTCCCCTATTACATAGAAAGCCTACTTTTTGAAAAAAAATGGTGTGTTCCCTTTTTAGACCTAGACCTTTCGCCAGATCAGGAATGCTCCAACAGCCAGAGTACTCCCTGATCCTCACGTTACAAACAAGAGGTGATTTATTTCACTACACAGGGTAGCCACCTACTTCAGAGGGCTCTGCTGCTCAGACTTCGCCAGGGTTTAATTTCCACTTCATGTGGCAGTCATTCTCCATATCCTCTGTTTATTTTCATGGAGAAGAGGAACAGAGATATCTTTATTTCACCACCTCCAATAGTATGGATGCTTATGTTCTTGGTGAAAAAATATTTCGGAAGTTGTCCCTGAACTTGAGTCTGTAATTATGCATAATTTAACATTTATTAAATTCATAAAGTCTGCTCTAATTATTACTTAAAAATTCATATCAGGAAAATAATCTTTTCCCTTCAAGATTAAAGAACATAATTTGATAAACACAGTGTTCCGCAACTCTAAATGGTCTTATTTAGAGACCATTTATAGCATTATATCAAATTAGGATTTCCTGAAGCAATTTATCAGTGATAAACCTGATCAGTGTTTACGAAGTTAATTTAATAATACACTGGAACAATTTATACAAAATTTATCTAAAAGTGATGATTAAATGTTGAAAATTTACTACATATAGATATATAGCTTACGCAGATTGTTTTAAATCATAAAAAAACTTTACTTCCAAAATCAACTACCACTTAATGATGACACAGTATCCAGTATTTTATTTTAAAATGTCTATAATTCATTTTGCATTAAATAAGATTCACTATTTATGCATAGATGTTTTTTTATTTTAAAATCTTCAAAAAACTAAGTATGAAAATTAACATTTTAGAAGTGACTTCAGCTTATAAAAAAAAAAGAAAAAAAAAAAAGAAAATTAACATGCCTAGAATATTGATAATATTTCTTAAGAAAATAAGTATATAAACACAGATACCCATCTATGATCCTTACTCTACTTTGGACTATCCTGGCTTCGAGAGGTATTGTCCTGTAGTACTTTATGCAACAGAATTTCAATTATCTAGTAGGCTCACATTTTCTCAGTTAAGTGAATATTTTGCTTTAATCAAAATTAACAAGAAAGTATTTTTATTTCAAATTGTGATCTGAAAAACTCTTTGACAGTGCTTGTATTGGTCTTCATTCCTCCATTAATGGCTAGAGTGTGCGATAGTCGAGTGTGCTGTAATGTACACACGCCCTACCTGCCCGACACAGCCGCTGGCTGGCGGCCGGGGTCTTTGCCCTCATCATCTGCTGCTTCCATCTTTGCCTCTTTTGACCTGACATTCAAGTAACCAAGAAGAGAACCAGCCATACGAAGAGTCTAGGGAAAATATTCTAAGCAAAGGAGAAAGCAAAGCAAAGGCCTTAAAGGAGAAAAGGGCCTTTTGTAAAGAGAGGCTGCTTGCTCATAAATTCTTTGCCTAAGTCAATGTCTAGAAGAATATTTCCAACGTTTTCCTCCAGAATTCTAATAGTTTCACACCTAAGGTTCAAGTCTGTTACCCAGCATGAGTTGATTTTTGTGAGAGGTGAAAGGTGTGATATAGCACCTCTTGTATTTTCCTGGATAGAGCTGGAACCCATTCTACTAAGTGCAGTATCTCAAGAATGGAAAAACAAGCACCACATGACTCAGCAGCAAATTGATTAACGGACCAACACTCTCCAAAAAAAGTGACACATAGGAAAACACATATCAATTATATAAACTAAATGGATTAAATTAATTAATAGGTTCAATACACTGTTAGACATCATACGAATGAGATGACATTGACACTTGAATGCTATAGTCATACAGACAAAAGTTACTCAAGTCTTTACACCGACTACTGTCCTCCCACGCTGGCCACCTCATAGCAGCAAAAGACCACATGAACTGTCAATTGATCAGCCAGAAACCCCCCCCTCGAGTGGCCTTTGTTTCTCTCCTTCCTCCCTCTTGCGAACTCCTGCCACTTGCAACCATGACGGAGTGTCTCCCCTTCCACTGCCTGGCTCACGCCTCCCATTATCAGGTGTCGCAGGTGGAGGGGGAGGAGGGGATTACAAACATATGAAGTGATGTGCAACGTTTGGGGATACACACTTGAAGCTCTTACCAGGTGGAGAGGTGGCAATATACAAACCTTAACATTTTACCCCCATCAATATGCTGAAATGAAAAAAAAAGCTGCTGGACCAGGTGAGCAAGGTAGAAGGGAATGAGAGGACGGACAGAGAGTAAGAGCCAAACACAGCATGCAGGCATCAAATGCCCAGCATCAGCGAGTGGACTTTTCCCCAAGACAATGGAAATGTACCCAAAAGGTTACAGGAGGAGCAACGTATCTGATTACTTTCTAAATGCAGGTGCAAGTGGAGGTGGCTTTGGGAAGCAGAAGAGGAGCAGCAAAGCCGAGAGTGCATCCTGGAGCTGGGCTGGGAGGCAGTGCAGCCAGGCCAAGTGGAAGGCGAGACACCGTCACGGTTGCAAGTGCGGATCACAGCAGAGGAGAAAGAGAGGAACCAAAGGCCACTCCGAGACTCGGCCGGGTCAACTGACAGTCCATGTGGTCTTTGCTGCTATGAAGTGCCAGCGTGGGAGGAACAGATAGGGTGATAGAGAACTTGAAACTACATTTAGTCTGATATACCTGTAAGCCATTCAAGTGTCAATGTCAAATACTCAATCGATATGAGTGTCTAAAACAGGTATATGGAAGACTATAATGTAATTTAGAAAACCATTTTAGTTCTAATTTATATATATATATATGATTTAATTATTTATATTGTGATTAAGTGACATTTTTAGTTTTTCTTTTAGAGATTTCAGTCCCCTGATAAATTCTCACTTTCTATACATATAGAAAGTACAGTCACAAAATCTAATCTAAGATTTGAGATAATTTTGTGAAGCAATATTATTCATTTAATCTTAGATGAAGTAATCACAAAAGTAATTTGAGCTAATAGGAGCTTTTTAGGTACAGATAAAAAAGAAAATAGTACATTTCACTGGAGTTAACTAGCTGGAACAGGTTAAGATTTTAATTGTATACTTTGCCTGTCGTTTTGTCTGTTATCTTTCATTCCCGGTATCTTGAAATAACTCAAGGAAGAAATGAGATAACTCCCTTTGGCACTGTTATAAATAACAGCTGTTTTGCAAGAACGTTCATTTTTGACAGCTGCTCATTTTTTCTGGAAGATCCTTTGACTTCAAAAAAAAGCTAAAGTATTCGCTCTTGTTTTAGAGAAAATTAAATATGGCAATTGGCATATTAAAATTTTCTCATGATTGGACTTTAAATTTGAACAAATAAATGAATAATTCACTCTGAAACATCAAGTGGCAAGTCAGGAACCAAAGAAAGATAAATTAGATGCAATCATTTTGTTCAACGTTGACTTCAAGATTGTCATTGTCCTTTGATTTCTCTACAGTTTAATTTTATACTAACTTCAAGTTATCATAAAGTGTATGATGAAAAGCCGGACACTGCTGTACTTGAGAGGGTGGGAACAATCCATAAAAACTTTGAAACTCACTCAAATAAGCTTAGAGGTAACACTACACAAAAGGGGAAATTGATTAATTTTCTCCTGAAAAGTAGTGCTACAAAAGTAATTACCTTTGCTAATATGTAGTAAAATTTACATCTTCAGTAAAGGAAAAGCATATATTGTGTAAAGATAAAGCAGTTGCACAAAAACAGTTCCACAAAACTGATACTAGAATACCAATCAGTATATATATATAGTTATATTAATATATGTCTGTATATGTACATATAACATATATCACTAATCATTAATTCACTGGAGAAGCGTATTGAGGTTTCCTTTGTGCCAGGCACACAGGTAGACAATGTGCACAGTGATTTTAAAGGAGAGAGAGCAAGACAGAGAAAGAGAGAGACAGAGAGAGAAAGGGAAGGAAGGAAAGGTACAATCATTGCCTTTAAGGTGATTAAAAATCTAGTGGATGAAGGCAGATGTACAACGAATAATACAATATGATAAGGGAAATGAAGTAGGAGAGGGCCAGAGAGTGGCAAAGGCTGCTTGGTGTAGTTTAAAGACTGATCTGAAAATAACTCTGGCGCAGAAACCTAGAGGAAGTCTGATCCACATGTGGGAGTCAGACTGCAGATGCCTGTGTCAGCGGTCCTGCCCCGCCAGCCATCGCACCTGCCCCGCCAGCCATCGCACCTGCCCTCACTCCTCTTCATCCATCTGCACTGGCTTTAGGGGCTTGCTGCAAATAATGAGTTTTATGATCTTTTTGTAAGTCATTCCTCTTCTTTTCTCTGTCATTATATAGAAGATTAAGTTTGGTAGTGTCTGTTCAACAGTTCCAAGATTTAAGTCCAGCTTCATTGCAAATTAGAAGTTCTGGCATACACTGGTTTACTTTTGTCTCTCCCTGTATTGGACTGTATTTTAACAAATTACAGAAAACTGGTTGATTTTACAGCCTACCTCACTTCTTTTGTCAGATAATCTTCACTACAAAAAAGCTATTCTCCCATGTGTACATTGAAAGAAAGTTTAATCAGAATATCACTCACACACACACACACACACAGTTCTATCTTAACTCACTAAATGTATACACAAGAAATGTGGAAGAAAAGCAAGTTCTACATATGAAAAATTTCAACTAAATGTAAGGTTTAGGGCACACTTCAAAGGGATGGGAACAGAGACAATGCAGCATGCTTGTGCAGTTGGTATTTTCTTCCTCCTGTGCACAGGACAGCTGGCATCGCGAGTTGCCTTCAAGGCACTGAAGCTCAGGTACAGAGTGAATTCTAAGGTTGTGACAACGAGCAGGGCTTCATTAGAAATTCACAGGATTTTGGTAAACATTTGAAAATGGATTCCTTTTACTAGTTCCTTTTTTAAAACACTTTGATTACATATAATAAACTGCATCCACTTAAAATATACAACTCAATAAGTTTTAAGAAATGTATCACATCACTGCCAAACTCATAACACAGAACATCTCCATCAGCTCCAAACCTGCCCCTTTGCAGCCCACCCCTTCCTCCATTCCTGGCACTAGGAAATCCCCTATCTGCTTGTTGTCACTGCAAATTAGTTTTCATTTTCCAAAATTTAATATAAATGGACTCATCTGGTGCATATTGTTCTGTATTTGCTTCTTTCACTCGGCATAATGATTCTGTGATGTCTTCACATTATTGCTATGTCAGTAATTTAGCCCTTTATGTGGCTGAGTCAGATTCTGTTGTATGGATATATTAACTTTATCTGTTCACTGTTTGACAGAGGCACCAAGAAGACACATTGGGAAAAGGGTAGTTTCTTTAATAAAACAGTGCTGGGAAAACTGGATGTCCATATACAGAAGAATGAAAGTGGATCCCCATCTTTCACCACATGTAAAAATCAACTCAAAATGGATTAAAGACTTAAATGTAAGATCTGAAACTATGAAACTACTAGAAGAAAACATTGGGGAAATGCTACAGGACATTGGTCTTAGCAAAGATTTCTTTGGGTAAGACCTCAGAAGCACAGGCAACAAAAGCAAAAATAGACAAATGGGATTATATCAAGCTATAAAGATTCTGCACAGCAAAGGAAATAATCAGCAAAGTGAAGAGACAACCTGTAGGAAGGGAGAAAATATGTGATGGACATTTGAATTGTTCTAATTTTTGGCTATTGCAAATAAAGTTGCTGTAAACATTTGTATACAAGTCTTTATATGTACCTAAGTTTTATTTCTCTTAAATAAAATACACAGGAGTGAAAAGGCTGAGTCATATCATAGGTGTATGTTTAACTTTTTAAGAAACTGTCACACTGTTTTCACAATGGTTTAGCATCTTCCATTCCCACTAATGGCTAAGACTTCTATTTGTACTGCATCAACACTAACATTTGGTATTGTCAGTCTTTTTAATTTTATCCATTCTAATGGATGTGTAGTGGTAGCTCAATTGCATTTCTCTGATAAGATGTTCAATGTCTTTTTTTGAGCTTATTACCCATTGATTTCTCTTCTTATATAAAAGGACTGTTCAAAAATTTTGCACTTGTTAGAGGGTGGTTTCACTATGTCTTATTGAGGCTTACCTGTTTTTTTATATAGTCTACATGCAAGTTCTCTGTTAGGTATATGTATTACAAGTATTTTCTCCCATCCTGTGGCTTTTTCTTTCTTTTCTTAAAAGTATCTTTGATTTTTGCTAAAAGTCTAATTTATCCATTTGTCCTCTATCATTAATGATTTTTGTATCCTCAGCAATATTTTCCTATAAGACAATTGCAAATATTATTATACTTTCTTCTAGAAGTTTTGTTGTTTTAGCTTTTACATTTAGTTCTACAGGACATTTTGAGCTGATTTCAGGGTATAATGTAAGGTAAGGGTTGGTGTTTATTTATCTTCCATGTGGATATCCAGTTGTTTTAATACCACTTCTTTTTCCCATTGAATTGAGTTGACACATTTGTCAAAAGTCATTTGACCATAAACATATACGTAATTTCCAGACTCTGTTCATCCAATTGATCTATGTTGATCCTTTCACCATCACCACATCATCTTGATTACAGCAGAGTCTCCAGCCCCAGTCCCGCCTTCAGATGACTGAAGTCCTGACCAACTTCTTGACTATAATCCCATGACAGAGTCTGATCCACAACTGCCTAACTAAACCATTCCCAAATCTCTTGCCTGTGGAGTGGGGGTGATTATGGCAGGAAAGACTACTTAGAAGCCACTGGAACTGCCTCCGTCTACCTAAACAATAAACCAAAAGTGATCGCACATTCCAAAAGGGGTTACAGAGGTTAGTGCCACCATTGAGGACTCAACCAATGTGGGGAAGGTGATTCCTGCCACATCCCCATTTATCTCACCTGTTGGGCCTGGGCAGAAGACAAATGCATCCCAGTGAATTATAGTGATAACCAAAAACAAAATCAGCTAGTGATTCCAATATCAGCTGCTTTTCTAGATATAATTTTATTGCTGGAGCAAATAAATACAATACCTGGCATTAATTAGTATGCAGCTATTGATCTGATAAACATGGACGATCCCCAAAGGTGCCTTTTAATACATTTGTGTCCTGTGATCTCAGCCCATGAAAAGACTACAGAAGGCTGGGTGCGGTGGCTCACACCTGTAATCCTAGCACTCTGGGAGGCCGAGGCAGGCAGATTGCTTGAGGTCAGGAGTTTGAAAAGACTACAGCAATTCATTACAGGAAGGACTTCTTCAGAAAGAAGCTCTAAGTCACCCCACATGTAAGAAACCTACACATCTTTTCTTATGGCCATTTTCTTATGGCATTTTTTCTTTTCTATATAAGATTAAGTACTATGTAATAAATAATTTATATATTAAGACATCATATATCATATGCATCTTAGTGGTTCTGTTTCTCCAGCTGAACTCTGACATATCACTTGATATACAAAAATAAATTACATTTCTATAAAATACAATTTCAAGTAAGTGTTTGAGCTCATAGTGTTTTGGATAATGTCTGTGTAGCAAACAAGATAGGATAACTGCTTTTCCATTTGTTACAGTAAGAACTGTTTTTGTTTTTGTTTTTTTGAGACAGGGTCTCCTTCTATTGCCCAGGCCAGAGTACTGTGGTGTCAGCCTAGCTCACAGCAATCTCAAACTCCTGAGCTCAAGCAATCCTCCTGCCTCAGCCTCCCAAGTAGCTGGGACTACAGGTGTGCACCACAATGCCTGCCTAATTCTATTTTTGCTTGAACTCCTGAACTGGTTTTAACAGATAATTTCCATTACAAATTTTCATCGGCACATTTCTGTGTGTGAAGTCCATCTTCAAACACTTTCTGAATAGGGAGATGCTGACTCATTGTTAGCATCAATCTAGCCAATCCACTTTGATATTTCATCGTTTGCACTTGCCACTTGTTCAATTTTAACAGATAAGGTGGCATTTTTAGATGTGGAATTGCAGATTCTGAGACATGGTCCCCCATTGTGCACTGTCTTTTCCCTTTCACATTTCCCTAAGCTCCATGTTCCCACTGATTCTAAGGACACGCCCTGTGCAAATGCACGTCTGCTTTGAGACTTAGACACACTGATACACCACTGCTAATCAACTGCCACCATCCCATATAATTAACACCATAATGCAGAAAAGCCAGATACATTTTCAGACCTTTTCAACACAAATAATATGAAAGGCATTCAAAACATTCTAAGTGAAGTATCCCAAGAATGGAAAAATAAGCACCACATATACTCACCCACGAATTGGTTTCGCTGATCAACACCTAAGTGAATATATAGAGGTAATATTTATTGGGTGTCAGATAGATGGGAGGGGGAAGAGGGTATGGGTACATACATACATAATGAGTGCGATGCACACCTTCTGGAGGATGGGCACACTTGAAGCTCTGACTGGGGGTGGGGGGTGTGCAAGGGCAACATATGTTACCTAAACATTTGTACCCCCATAATTTGCAGAAATAAATAAAAAGAAAAATTAGGCTGGGCACAGTGGCTCATGCCTGCAATCCCAGCATTTTGAGAGGCCAAGGCTGGAGGATCACTTGAGGCTAGGATTTCAAGACCAGCCTGAGCAACATAGTGAGACCCTATCTCTAAAAACAATAGAAAAATTATCTGACTATGGTGGCATGCATCTATAGTCCCAGCTACTTGGGAGGCTGAGGCAGGAGGATCCCTGGATCCCTTGAGCCCAGGAGTGTGAGACTGCAGTTACTTGTGATAGCACCACCGTACTCCGGCCTGAGTGACAGGGTGAGACTCTGTCTCAAAAAAAAAAAATAAAAATAAAAGAATGACATAAAAATGTGGTCTTTATTGAAAGATAAAGGATAATTTTGTCTAAAAGAAAATAAATAAATAAAACCAAATTGGCATATTATTGATTGTGGACTTGGCAGGGCCTTTTGTGGTGGGCAGCACATGTTGCACTGCTTGTATTTCTCCTCAATAACTTTCTTCCCTGATTATGGGAGATAAAACACCAGCTGGAATAAAGGAAAGAACATGTCTGACAAGTTTATTACTCAGACACTGAGATCTAGAATGCGAGAGTCATCAGATGACACCGCTCTTTCGCTAAATCATCTGTGGATATGTTTCTTGTGCACCATGGGGGCAGTTTCAACAGGCTGTGTTTGGCTCGGTACTTTCAGGCACTGCATTAACTGACACTGCTTTTACAGAAGGCTTAAACAGACTACATTAAGATAAGTGCCAAGAATGCTTCAAAGGAGCATTCAATTCCCCCAAATAATTTAGGTATTGCTATTTCATTGTGCAATTATATTGCTGCTAGTTAGCTTTTTAAAAGCCCCGAGTATATTCTTTAAAGAAAAAGGAACAAGGAACATATGCAATGTCTCCCCACACATGTGGCCTTATATTCCTTTATGCTTATCAGGCAAGCTCGGGTGGTTTCCATACATCTGCTATGGACGTATCTTCCGGGTCAACCCCCTCCTCACCCTACTTCCTCCAGCCCTGAAAAATTCCATTTGGCAAGGATGCTGATTTTCAAATATTTTTTGAATCTCCCCATTCTGAACTTTTTACTATTTATCACTGCTTACTTACTGTAACAGTTAAACCTCAGATTCCAAGGTGCAGAGTTGCAGGACTCACTCTGCTGTCTATAAAACTTAATTCTCTCCTGTGGAAGGTCCCCAGCTGTGACCTCCCCTCAGCACCTACACCCCAGGGTGCACTCGTGCTTGGGTGCTCTGTAGAGAACAGACCTCATGGCACAGCCACTGCTGGCATGCAAATAACTCTTCTATGTAATATCTAAAACAACTCTCTCTCTATGATATCACTCCATCCCTAAATGTTTTCTCCCTGGCCTTATTAACATACCACTCTGTGATTTTAAATAAATATTGGCACTGTCCTATGCTTTTAGGGAAAGTTCCTGTGAAGAGACTCTAGCAGTCTTCACATTTGAAATACTTATAATCTATCAAGAGGACCACATACGTACTTATAAACTTACTTTCCAAAATAACCAAACTATACATTTTTAAATGTGATCTCTGAAAAATTCATTTTGTACTACCCTTATATAGATTTATTTTCCTTTTTGCCTACTCTTTCCATTCCTCTTACTTCATACAAACCAAAACAAACTCACTATTTTTGACTTTTTTTCATCCTTAGAAGATTTTTGATCCTCAATGATATGAATGTTTATTTTATCCTTTTACTCTACCTGCATTTATCCTCCCAAAATATTGCCAGTCTCAAAATTAATTTATGGGGCTGCAAGTCATGACAGTGCCTAAGAGGTGGGTTTGGGGGATAGTAGCTTGGACAGGGCTCCAGGCAGAGGTACGGGACGCCGGTGGATTCAGTTTCCTGATGTGGGTGCTGGTTGGATGGACGCTTTCTGTTTATGAAATTTATCAATATGCTGCACATAATTCATTCATTTTTGTGTATATTTAAAACATTTTAATTCTTTTTTAAAAAAAGAGGGAAAATTAATCCATTTAGTAATTCTTAAATCTTCATTCCTTCCAAATTCCTGCACTCAGTCTCTTTCCATTCTGCTCATGAATTCAATAAATAAA